AGTACTTTATATGCATCACAAGGATCTAGACGATGGATGCTTATGATTCCCATTTTATAGGTGGGGAAAATGAGTCAGTGAGGGCCAGAAAGGGCAAGTATCTTGTCCTAGGCAATGCAGCTGGTCTCACCAGGTTTCGCCCTCGGGTTTATCTGCCAGTGAAGCCCGTGTTTGCACCACTGTCCTACGTGGCCTCTCCTCATGGATGGCTCCATCCTTCCGGATGCGACGGATAGAGCCGGGTGCAGAAATAGGAAGAGCAGCCCAACTTTCCTAACTGGAAGACTGGAGTGAGAGCTCTCACTGTCAGCCTAGTGTGAATCGACTCCTTTCCACCACATTCCCCAACCGAGGACAGTCTATACCAAGCTCACAGCACTGAGCCGCTGGGGGAGGGCCAGCCCACACCCAGCCCCATCAATCTTGGTGGCATAGGCTCCCTTCTAGAGCTTTCTCAGGAGGCCCCATTTCCTACTGCAGCGGGGCAAGAATTCAGGAGGAGCCCACTCAAAGGGGAGACAGAGGCAGTGTTCCCTTCGAGCAGCTCTTCCCTCCCAGAGCTGTCACTGGACAATTGGAGAGAAAAACCGGGACATTCTCCCCCACCAGGATATTTTGTATGCTTTGCACTTACCGCTGCGTTCCCTTCATCTAAAAGCTCTAAAATTTCAAATAAAAAGGTACAATGAAAGCAGCAGCAGGATAAATAGCCACAGTGATCTGAGCTGAAACCCTGGAAGCTTTATTCACATCTTTAGAAAAACTCTGAAGGCTCCTAGTAGCAGCTGCAGTACAAAGCCTCACACTTTAATTCTAAGGCTGCCAGAAATAGGTCTGTCAGGCCTGAAATATCACTGCATTTCATTACTCTTAAATGTGCATTACCATCTCTGCTTCATTACCAGCTGGGGGGTATTCTCAAGATCAACTCTGGAGAGCACCAGGGATCTGGGATATATGGGGAAGGGCAGAGGACACAGTTGGGGCTAAAACATCCAGATGGGTGGAGAGACCTAGTGGGCTTAAAGATCACACTAGGCCCACAGGAGCGGAGGATCCACGGTCCCCAGCAGAGGAAGGCAGGCTGCACTCTCCAAGTCTGATGTCACCCACTTGGGCGGTGAAGCCAGTATGGGAGAAGCAGCGGCAGGACTGCTGGGGCAGTGGAGAGGACAGTTTTTGAGCACAAAATAGGGCCTATGGAAGCAATGGATAAAGGGCCGAGGCCTTCGAGCCCAGCAGCAGGTAGGAACTGGTGAGAGGGAAATTAGGCCATCAGGGCCGGGGAAAATCACAGGCACAAAGCAGCCAGTGCAAAATCCTGGAAGGAGGCGGCTGCTGGAGGTTTGAAAGTTTGGAGCCTGGAGCAATCTGCATGTTTATAATAAAACTGACACTCAGGGCAGCTCTGAATAATTCAGTAGGCACTGTGATCTCGTTACAGTGCGTGTCCCTAGGGTACAAAGGGAGAGGGGCTGGCTCGGCCCAGGCTGGCTGCCGCCACCAGGCTCCCTGAAAGGGCGTGACAGATGGGCCGACACCAGCCACCACCCAGTCACGCTTCGCACGGTGATTGGTTTTCAAAGGAGGACAGGGTTTGTGAATGGAGCCAGCTTGTTGCTTGCTGCCTTCAAATGGATGCTGCTGGGTCGCGTGGCCAGCCGGGCCCCCTTGTGAATGGGGCATCACCAGTGGGTGGTGAACAAGCCGGAGATGACTCCCCTTTCCCCTCCCCCATCATTGCTGAAGCTGAGCTGCAGGAAAAGGGGAGCAGGGCCCCTGACCCTTCTCTCTGCTGACAGGTTTAACTCTCCATTGGTCTTCCTCTGCACTATCCCTGCATCAGTGAGAATTAGGTTCAGGTACATATACCATAAAAACAAAAGGTTAAAACAAGATGAGAGTGTCTTTTTCTCTCACGTAAACAAATCCAGATACAACTAGTACAGATGTAGTTTGTGAGCTCCACCACCATCAGGACGTAAGCCCCTTTCCCTGCACGACCCTGCCATCCCCAGCCCTCAGCTTGCTAGTCCTGGTCCCAAATGACTGCTCAAGCTCCCACATCATGTCTACATTCCAGCCATCAGGAAAATAAGATGGGAAGAAGCTGCCCGGAGTACGTACTAGTCATTGAGATGTCCCAGAAGCTGCCACATGCGCAATAGATGATAACGTGGCTACACGGCTACGCTTAGCTGCAGGAGAGGTTAGGAAATGTCTGCTTGTCTTCTATGGCCATTTGTTTGGTGGTAGATAATTCTCCACGGTTCTATTCCATGTCTACACAGCTTGCAAGTGAGGCATTGACTGTCCTTTGTTCCAGGTTCTCATTTTCAGGATATAGTGGACAGCCTTGGAAGATCTAGTATCTCCCTCCCAAAGGGGCAGGCATGCTGCCCCTTATAAAATAAACATGGCCCATTATAAAAGATCTGGGTTCCCTAAGTTCAGGGTTTCTGTCCTGAAATGCAATCCACTGTGTGTGCAGGCATCACCTGGTCCTTTCTGCAAAACCCTGTGGGGATTAGGGCTGGTACTCTTGCTACTGCTATTGCTGTGAATAGTAAACTGTCCATCTCTGACCAAGGAGTCTGAGCTTCTAATACAAGCTACGACACTGGTGGGCTAATTTGTTAGCTTGTAAGTAGGATAAACTTTCATACCCTTCATAGTTCCTGACAGTGTTCAGCTAAGAATCAGGGTTTCTTCAGGGGTAGTTACTAGAAATCTGCCATAGGCTTCTTCCCAGCTACTTGAGTTGACCATACAGGTGTTTCCAGGTATCTGGACTCCTCCACAACCAAACAGAGGGGAGTGCCTTCAGGTAAAACTCCAGTCACTTCCAAAATTATAGCAGGTCTTGAAATGCCTAAAGACAGTAGGAGTCAGCCAGGCACGCTGGCTCACACCTATAATTCCTGCACTTTGGGAGGCCAAGATGGGAGGATCACTTGAGCCCAGGAGTTCAAGACCAGCCTGGGTAACAATAGGGAGACCCTGTCTCTACTAAACCAAAAAAAAAAAAAAAAAGAAAGAAAGAAAATTCGCCAGGCATGGGGGGCACATGCCTGTAGTCCTAGCTCAGGAGGCTAAGGGGGAAGGATCACTTGAACCCAGGAAGTTGAGGCTACAGTGAGACATGACTACACCACTGCCTTCGAGCCTGGGTGACAGGGTGAGACCCTATCTCAATTTAAAAATAAAAAGTAAAAAAAAAAAAAAAAAAAAAAAAGAAAGACAGTTGGAGCTCATGCACCTGCTCACCTCCTCAGCTCTGAGGGGTCTCTAAAGAACCTCATGGACTTCCTTGTCTCCATCCAGTAGGACCCGGAGCAGGCCTTGGGAATCCAGATTTAGGCCAGGTGCCATGGAGCCAGCAGGCCGACTCGGCAGGAATCCCTTAACAGCATTCTCAGGATATCCAGGGCTCCAGGTGTTTCCTAGGCTGTCAGGACAAGGACAGGGAGCTCAATCCAGTGCCAGGGACTCTGCTTCCTGCCTCACTGCCAAGGGGAGAGACTCTACACAGTGAAATCTGGATTACATATTAAAAAATTTCAGGCCGGGCACGGTGGCTCAAGCCTGTAATCCCAGCACTTTGGGAGGCCAAGGCGAGTGGATCACGAGGTCGAGAGATCGAGACCATCCTGGTCAATGTGGTGAAACCCCGTCTCTACTAAAAATACAAAAAATTAGCTGGGCATGGTGGCGCGTGCCTGTAGTCCCAGCTACTCAGGAGGCTGAGGCAGGAGAATTGCTTGAACCCAAGAGGCGGAGGTTGCAGTGAGCCAAGATCGCGCCATTGCACTCCAGCCTGGGTAACGAGAGCAACACTCTGTCTCAAAAAAAAAAAAAAAAAAAAAAAATTTCAAACCCGTAAATGCAAGGTGACGTCCCAGATTGAATCCTGGAACAGAAAAAGGACATGAGTGGAAACGTGAAATCCAAGTAAAGTCTGTAGTTTGCTTAATAGTATTGTTCCTGCCAGGCACGGTGGCTCAAGCCTGTAATCCCAGCACTTTGGGAGGCCGAGGCGGGTGGATCACGAGGTCAAGAGATCGAGACCATCCTGGTCAACGTGGTGAAACCCCGTCTCTACTAAAAATACAAAAAATTAGCTGGGCGTGGTGGCGCGTGCCTGTAATCCCAGCTACTCAGGAGGCTGAGGCAGGAGAATTGCCTGAACCCAGGAGGCGGAGGTTGCAGTGAGCCAAGATCGCGCCATTGCACTCCAGCCTGGGTAACGAGAGCAAAACTCCGTCTCAAAAAAAAAAAAAAAAAATAGTATTGTTCCAATGTGAATTCTTCATTTTGACAGACGTACCATGGTTAGGTAAGATATAAACTTTGGGGGAAGCAGGGTAAAGAGTACATGGGAATTCTCTACACTATTGTTGCAACTTTTACGTACATCTAAAAATTTTCCAAAATAAAAAGTATACTAAGATAAAATAAAGCCAAAAAGACTTCAAGACCTAAGTTCAACATTTAAGAGGCAGGAAAAGAAAAAGATGAATGGTGGGGCACGGTGGCACATGCCTGTAATCCCAGCACATTGGGAGGCCAAGGCAGGCAGATCATTTGAGTCCAGGAGTTCAAGACCAGCCTGGCCAAAATGGTGAAACCCTACATCTACTAAAATTACACAAATTAGCCTGGCATGGTGCGCACCTGTAGTCCCATCTACTCGAAAACTAAGGTAGGAGAATAGCTTGAACCCTGGAGGTGGAGGTTGCAGTGAGCCGAGATCTTGCCACTGCACTCCAGGCTGAGAAACAGAGCAACACTCTTGTCTCAAATATGTGTGTGTGTGTGTGTGTGTGTGTGTGTGTGTGTGTGCGCGCGCGCGCGCATACATACGTATATGATTATTGTAAGTATTTAAATTCAAAGAGCTGGGTTAGGACCTCTCTTCTGGAGTTAACCATAAACCGTCCTCTTTCATTGTCAAAGAATATCCAGGATTGGAGTAAAAATGGAAGCAAAGGCGAACTCACCCTTTGCAAGGCATCGGAGTGGGCAGTCAACCCGGACCAACGCCAACATCAAGGTCGGGCGAGGCCGGGCACCGGCTTGGTCCTTGGGCAATCCCGCGGCGCTGCAGGAAGGGCAGGCTGGGGCCCCGGCCCTGCGGCCCCCGCTCTCCCGCCTCCGCTCCCCGGGGAGAACCCGGGCCGCGCCCTCGGAGGCAAAGCTGTTTGCTCAACGCGGAGGAATGCGGAGCCGGCTCTCCGGCGGGGGAAGCTCGGGGGCTGCACAGCCGCCGGAGGCCGCAAACTTCGCCCTCTGCACACGGCAGCTCCGGGCGGGAAAAGCGGGGCGGCCCAGGCCCCAGGCCCGGCCCCCAGCCCGGGGGTGGTCCAGCCCGGGACTCCCGCCTTCGAGGCCGTTTAAAAACGGCGGCAGACGCAGGCCCGAGGGCCGAGGCGAGAACCTCCCACGGAAAGCTCCAAAGAGGCGGGGGTTTCTGCCTCACTGTTGTGTTGGTGATTCATCTGTGGCGCCTGAAGAGTGCCTTGAACATACTAGGCGCTCAGTAAACCTTTTTTGAAAGACTCGCATTATCCTCCCGGCCTCAGTTTCCTCCTGTGTACAGGAAGGGTTTGATCTCTGAGGGCCCTGTCAACTGAAATTCTAGGATGCTGAGTTAAATCCCATGTGTACTGCTGTGGTTTCGCTTTTAGTTTTTTGGGGACATTTTTAGTGTTACCCTTTATGATGTGCCAGGAGTGAATTTGACACCAGATGGCTTTTTTTTTTTTTTTTTTTTTAATAAGAAAGAAGACAAAGGGAGGGAGAAAAATATTTTCCAACTGGCAGTGCTGACAGCATTTTGGAAGAGAATCCAGGGAGGCAAGGGAGCTGTTTCAGCCCGATTCTGCCTCCTCCTGCACACTCTGCCACCCTGGCCTCCACCATAAACGAGGTCGATCTGAGTGGAGTTTTTTACGGATGAGGCAAAGGGAGCATCGTCACAGGAGACTCCACCCGAGTTAGCAGTTGCTTTGTCCTCTGTGGCTGTCACAGCGGACTGGCCCCTGAGCCCGCATGGTGGTGGATTCCAGCTATAGGCAGGGCTCTGGCTAAAGGCTGAGTCTGGTGTTAATTAGAAGAAAAGAGAGACACCTGGAGAATCAAAAGCTGGCGCTCCCTGCCTGGGGAACATTCAGGAAAAAATAGCCAAAGTGGCAGTGCCTCTTCTGGAATTCTTCTTCTCTGGGATCCCAAATCCCTCCCATGGAAAGGCGGGGTGGAGAAAAGTTCCTTGCTCAAAATGACCTCAAGCTGAGTTTTTAATGTCATGGCGCAAGGAAGGGAAATTCCTAGAATAAAACAATTTGGCAGTGTGCACAGGCATGCCAACCAGGGATTCTGCAGGCAGTCTGCTTGGGTTCAAATCTTGCCTCCACCACTTACTAGTTGTTTGATAAGGATAAACGACTTTATCTTTCTGTACCTTAGTTTCCCCAACTGTAAAATGGAATAATTAAAATTCCCACCAAAGGCAATTGTCGTGTGGATTGAATGAGATAATACAAGAAAAGTGTCAGTGGTCTGCCTCTTCAAACAGACACTGGCACAAGGCAAGCACTCAACGTTTTCTTATTTGTTAAGCGACAGGACCCCCAAAACTAGAACCTTGTGCTGGACAGGTCTCAAAGTGGCTGCCTGTGAAGAGCTCCACTGTGGTACTCTCAACTTTGGGCAAAGAAGTCTCCATTCAGCTGACTGGTCCCTCCCTCGTCCTCCTTCACATCCCCAGGAAACTGGAGGAAGGCCACACAGGGTGAGCGGAAATGATGTGTCAGGCTCCACCTTGGTGGATCACCTCCAAAGGGATCTTGGAGGGAAGAAGGGAGTAGTGGGCGTGGAGAAGAAGACTGTCAGTGTCAGTCCGGGAGGTGGGGACTGACGCAGTGGATGATATACAAACCAGTGCACTGATGCATGAATGCAGTAGCCAGTATATAAACGAGTGCACTACATACCATAGGTGGCTGATCATGGCCACGCATGGTCTATAACTTTGTTGGATGTCCTTGATTTTCTACTGATAAACTGTTTCTAATTGTTTCAGATGCAGTGTTCTCAAATTTGACCAGCAAATTCCTTGAGGCCAAGGCTTGTCTTTCTGTCACGGTGTCCATCCGACACAAATATGTCAAAGATGCTACTCACAAAGTAAAGACTTCAGAGGTGCTTATTGATGGGACGAGCTGTTAAACGGCAGCAGATAGGAATTCCAGGCTGCATGGGCAGGGGGAGACAAAGGCAGCTGGGCATGTAGGGATCAGAGGTGTGACTCATCTGCTGGCCCCAAGTATCTTCCCTCCAACCCACAGTAGAAAACCTTTTTATCAGTAGGAAAGAAAGAACATCCAACAGAGTTATAGCTCATGGGTCGCCATCACAAGCCACATATGGCATATAGAGCACTTCAAATACTCTACTCAGACCTCTCCAGTTTCCAGAAAGTCAGCGACAGCAAGGTTCCCAGCCTGTCCTGCCACAGGGGAGGTGATATCCATGCCAGCCCTGGGAAAATCTCTCTCTCCAACTGCTCCATCACTCCTGGCCTGCAGGAGCCCCCAAGGCAAACTTTGCTGCCATTTCTGTCACTTTTCTGAATGGACACTGGACTTCCATTGCTGAAATCAGGACAGAGCCCACTGTTGCCCTGAGATGTCTTCTGGAGTCCTCCTAAGTGTCTTCATGTGGCTGGCCCATCCCATCATTTGGATCTCCTCTTCTTCAGAGGAGACTTTCTTGACCATCCTCTATCAAAAGTAGCTGCCCCCCTGCCAAATTACTTTCCATTATCTTATCCTGCTTATTTTGTTACTTACATGCTCATTGTCTCTCTACCCCACCCAGACTGAAAGTTTCCCTAAGGACAGGGACCTCGTCTTTCTGTCCATTACTGTTTCCTATCCTGTTTCACAGTGACTGGCACACGGCAAGTGTCTGCTTGATGAGTGGTGGCCTCCTTCTCCCTGAGTTAGTTCCTTCTCTCTAACAATTTTAATCAGTTCTTTTCTATTAGGTAGTTCCTCTGCCTTCAAAAAAAGGCCATCAGCTCCTTTATTTTGTAAACTCTTTTCACCTTTTAGCCATCAACTTTTTTTTCCCATCTTTCGCCTCACCTACTACCCAGGGAAAACAGCTAGCTTCATGTGTCAGAACCTTTCAACTGAAAGCACAGAAGACCTACTAAAAGTTTTTTTTGTTTTTTGTTTTTTTTTTTTTTTGAGACTGAGTCTTGCTCTGTTGCCCAGGCTAGAGTGCAGTGATGCAATCTCAGCTCACCGCAACCTGTGCCTCCCAGGTTCAAGCAATTCTCTGCCTCAGCCTCCCAAGTAGCTGGGATTACAGGCGCCTACCACCACGCTAGGCTAATTTTTTTGTATTTCTAGTAGGGACTGGGTTTTGCCATCTTTGTCAGGCTGGTTTTGAACTCCTGACCTCGTGATCCACCTGCCTCAGCCTCCAAAAGTGCTGGGCTCACAGGCCTGAGCCACCACACCCAGCCAAGCATCTTAAACAACGGGCAAGCATATTATTTTTCAGAGGCAGAGAGCATTAATTCCACCTTTAATAAAGTCACCTTCCCTGTGATTCTTTCTGAAAGCCCTGGCCTAGAGGGCTTCCCCTTATGTGTCCTTGGCCAGGGCTGCATCACATGCCTACACCTAAACCAATCACTGACACAGAGGCAGGAAGCACCCTGGTTGGCTGAGACTCATCAACATTCATCCCTTGTGGCTGAGGAGGGGGTCTCCTACCTTGAGCACAGGCAGGTAAATTTCAGGACAAAATCAAGCCTTTAACAGCATAGAAAAGGGGTAGAGAGTAGCTGTTGAATCTAGGAACTGCCCAATAACCTTCCAATAAATTGTTTTTCTGCTTGTTAGCCAGAGTTGGTTTCTGTGACCTGTAATCACAGAAGCCTGGCTGAGCCACACTCAGGGGCTGAGTGATGAGATGACAGGAACAGCATAGAATGGCCATATGGAAGCACACGAAAAATAGTCCCAGGACCTCAGGAAACAACTGTGGAGTGAGGTGTTAGAGCTTAGAGTCAGAGGCTGTGTATTTCAGGTGACCCATTGTGACTGTACTCCCAGGCTATGTAACCTGGGGCAAGTGCATTACATGAATGTTCAGTAAATATTAAAGTGAACTGAAGCCCACCCCACCATCCCCCAGAGGCTCATATCTGTAATCCCAGCACTTTGGGAGGCCAAGGTAGGCAGATTGCTTGAGCTCAGGACCAGCTCAAGACCAGCCTGGGCAACAAGGTGAAAAACCTTGTTTCTGTCAAATATACAAAAACTTAGTCAGCCTTGGTGGTGTGCACCTGTGGTCCCAGCTACTCGGCAGGCTAAGGTGGGAGGATCCCTGGAGCCCAGGAAGTCAAGGCTGCAGTGAGCCACGATCATGACATTGCACTCCAGCCTGGGTGACACAGTGAGACCCAGTTTCAAAATATAAATAAATAAAATAAAGTGAACTGAAGTGATCACCCTTCCTTTTTAAAATTTTAAGCTAGGTGTGGTAGCCGGAACCTCTTGTTCCCACTATTTTCGGGAGGCTGAGGCAGAAGGATCATTTGGAGGCCAAGTACAGTGGCTCACACCTGTAATCCCAACACTTCTGGGAGGCCATGGTGGGTGAGTTACTTGAGTCCAGGAGTTTGAGATCAGTCTGGGCAACATAACAAGACCCCATCTGTCCTAAAAATACAAAAAATTAGCTGGGTATGGTGGTTTGTGCCTGTAGTCCCAGCTATTCAGGAGGCTGAGGTGGGAGGATGACTTGAATCCAGGAGACAGAAGCTACAGTCATATTGTACCACTGCACTCCAGCCTGGACAATAGAGCCAGATTCTGTCTCAAAAAAAAAAAAAAAAAAGGCCGGGTGTGGTGGCTCCCACTTGTAATTCCAGCACTTTGGGAGGCCGAGGTGGGTGGATCATGAGGTTAAGAGATCGAGACCATCCTGGCTAACATGATGAAACCCTGTCTCTACTAAAAATACCAAAATTAGCCAGGCATGGCAGCGTGCACCTGTAGTCCCAGCTACTCGGGAGGCTGAGGCAGGACCATCACTTGAACCCAGCGGGTGGAGGCTGCCATGAGCCAAGATTGTGCCAGTGCTCTCCAGTCTGGCAACAGAGCAAGACTCCATCTCAAAAAAAAAAAAAAAAAAAAAAAAGGACCACTTGAGCCCTGGAGTTCAAGGCTGCAGTGCTGTATGATCATGCCTGTGAATAGCCACTGCACTCCAGCTTAGGCAACATAGCGAGACCTCATCTCTAAAAAATCAATTAAATTAAATAGTATCTTTCCCTGGTTCCCAAGAGGCCACTCAGGTAAACAACTGGCCTCTCCCACCAGCTGCTT